AGGTTGAGAAGTTGATTTGCAAGCTAAATTCCTGCTTCTCCATTATTCAGCCAGCAGATAAAGCTTGTGCTTTTCTAGTCTTGGGGCATCCCCAGTGGCTCAGACGGTAAAGAATCTGCCTGCAATGTGGGAGACTGGTTTCAATCTCTGGGTCAGGAAGATCTCCTGGGAAAGGTAATGGCTACTTACTCAAGTATTCTTGCCTGGAGAACCCCATGGACAGAGGAGCCTGGTGGGCTATAGTCCATAGGGTCGCAAGGAGTCGGATACGACCTAGCAACTAAACAGCAGCAGCAGCAGTTCTAGTCTCAGATTGGTTTCATTATTAGCTGTGCAAATCTGATCAGAAAAAGAACCTCCCTGGCCAAGACAAGAGGTCTGAGCCCAGGCTAGGACCCAAGCATTGGTCCAGGCAACCAATTCAGTCACATGTCCTGCTGCTGCTGCTGCTGCTGCTGCTACATCACATCAGTCGTGTCCAACTCTGTGCAACCCCATAGATGGCAGCCTACCAGGCTCCTGTCCCTGGGATTCTCCAGGCAAGAACACTGGAGTGGGTTGCCATTTCCTTCTCCAGTGCATGAAAGTGAAGAGTGAAAGTGAAGTTGCTAAGTCATGTCCGACTCTTAGCGACCCCATGGACTGTAGCTTACCAGGCTCCTCCATCCATGCGATTTCCCAGGCAAGAGTACCAGAGTGGGGTGCCATTGCCTTCTCCAGTTACATGCTCACATGCAGGAAAATGAAATTGGATTCCTATATCACACCATATACAAAAATTAATTCAAAGTTGATGTAAGACCTAAATATAAGAACTAAAACTATAAAGCTCTCAAGAAGAAATAATGAAGGTAAATCGTCATGACCTTGACAGGCCATGGTTTCTTGGATAAATTTAGACTTCAACAAAATTAAAAGTTTTTATGCTTCAATTAACACAATCAAGAATGTGAAAAGACAATTCATAGAATTAGATAAAATATTTGAAATCATAAGTATAATCCCAGATTATGTAAAGAATTCTTACCATTCAATAATATAGAAGTAAATAAGCCAAGTAAGAATGGGCAAAGAATTTGGACTGATATCTCTCCAAAGAGGATAAACAAATGCCAAATAAGCGCAAGATAAAAACATCCAACATCTTTAGCCATTAGGGAAATGTGAATCAAAATCACAAGAAGAGTGCTCACTTCGGCAGTATATATACTAAAATTGAAACGATACAGAGAAGATTAGCATGGCCCCTGTGCAAGGATGACACACAAATTTGTGAAGCGTTCCATATTTCTTCTAGACAGACATTTCTCCAAAGAAGACATACAGATGGCTAACAAACACATGAAAAGATGCTCAACATCACTCATTATCAGAGAAATGCAAATTAAAACCACAATGAGGTACCATTACACGCCAGTCAGGATGGCTGCTATCCAAAAGTCTACAAGCAATAAATGCTGGAGAGGGTGTGGAGAAAAGGGAACCCTCTTACACTGTTGGTGGGAATGCAAATTAGTACAGCCACTATGGAAAACAGTGTGGAGATTTCTTAAAAAGCTGGAAATAGAACTGCCATATGACCCAGCAATCCCACTTCTGGGCATACACACCGAGGAAACCAGATCTGAAAGAGACACGTGCACCCCAATGTTCATCGCAGCACTGTTTATAATAGCCAGGACATGGAAGCAACCTAGATGCCCATCAGCAGACGAATGGATGAGGAAGCTGTGGTACATATACACCATGGAATATTACTCAGCCATTAAAAAGAATTCATTTGAATCAGTTCTAATGAGATGGATGAAACTGGAGCCCATTATACAGAGTGAAGTAAGCCAGAAAGATAAAGACCATTACAGTATACTAACACATATATATGGAATTTAGAAAGATGGTAACGATAACCCTATATGCAAAACAGAAAAAGAGACACAGATGTACAGAACAGACTTTTGGACTCTGTGGGAGAAGGCGAGGGTGGGATGTTCTGAGAGAACAGCATTGAAACAAGTATACTATCAAGGGTGAAACAGATCACCAGCCCAGGTTGGATGCATGAGACAAGTGCTCAGGGCTGGTGCACTGGGAAGACCCAGAGGGATGGGATGGAGAGGGAGGCGGGAAGGGGGATCGGGATGGGGAACACATGTAAATCCATGGCTGATTCATATCAATGTATGGCAGAAATCAGTACAATATTGTGAAGTAATTAGCCTCCAACTAAAAAATAAATGGAAAAAAAGAAAAAGCGAAAGAAAAAAAATCACAAGAAGACACCACTTTCATGCCCACTAGAATGGCTATAATAAAGACAGATAATAAAAAGTGTTGCAGAGGATGTAATGAAATTGGAACCCTCATACACTGCTGATGGTAATGTAAAGCAGTACATGATCCAGCAATTTCCCTCTTCAGTAAATACCCATGAATAATGAAAACATATGTGCACACAAAAACTTGTACATGAATATTCAAAGCAGAATCATGCATAATAGCCAAAAAGTGAAAAAAACCCACATTCCCATCAACTGATGATTAGATAAACAAAATATGCTATATCTTTACAATGGAATGGGCTTCCCTGGTGGCTCAGTCGGTAAAGAATCCGCCTGCAGTGCAGGAGACCTGGGTTAGATCCCCAGGTTGGAAAGATCCTCTGGAGGAGGGCATGGCAACCCACTCCAGTATTCTTTCCTGGAGAATCCCCACGGACAGAGGAAGCCTGGTGGGCTGCAGTCCACAGGGTCACAAAGAGTCAGACATGACTGAGCTACTAAGCACAGCACATACAATGGAATATTTTTCATCAATAAAAGGAAATGAAATACACATGCTATAACATGGATGAATTTTATGTTAAATGAAAGAAGTTAAACATAAAAGCCTATACACACTGTAAGATTTAACTCATATGAAATGTACAGAACAGGTAAATCTACAGAGACAGAAAGTAAATCAATGGCTGCCTAGGGTTAGGGGGCAGGGATGGGGTGGGATGGGGACTGACTGCTAATGGGTATGGGGTTTCTTTTGGGATGATAAAAATGTTCCAAAATTTAACTGTGATGATAGATGTACAACTCTGTGAATATACTAAAAACTATAGAATTGTACATTATAAGTGGGTGAATTATATGTCAATAAAACTGTTGAAAATGCATAAGGTTCAAAGAAAATCAGTTATATAGAACCAGAGGAATCAAAAATAAACACAAAATCTTGATAAAGAAATAGATGTGCTTCTTTAGTAAGGCATTAAATAATAAGATCCAGGCCTAAGAGCTAACTTACTTTTGAAGTAGTGATGAGTGTAAAATAAATTTTGAGACATGTGCAACAACTACAACAAAAATGACTGACAGTTTCATTAGCATCACTAAAGAACAACGGAGGTGGAAAAAAGGAGGGAAAGTAAAACAGTCAATTGTTTCCCCTGATGAAGCTGCAGGATTAAAAAGCGGGTACAGACAAGAGATTTCCTTTTAGTGAGGCTGGAGATTTGCAAGACGGCTTCCAGCCTAGTGCTTTTAACATGTCTATACAAAATTGGCTGTACCAGCTAAATCACTACCAAGCAGCTTGGACCTCTCTGGCTGTACCCTTCAGTCCCTCTGCAAGGCAGTGGGAGGGGACAGGTGTAAACCTGATGATATTTGGTCACCAAAACAAAACAAGCTGGGAGACAGAATGGAAAATTAACACAATGGGTAAGAAAGCACTAAGGTAAGAAAGCATCTAAGGCATGGCATGCTCTCCCTCCTGTTTCCAAGTCATCAGAGAAGGAGATATGACCAGACTAGCCTGGGGACTCGGGTGAAAACTGGAGTCTTCAATGACTTCCCCCTCTACCAGATACCTACCTCCAGGACTAAATTTCAAAATATCTGACAAGTGATAATCGGCCACAGAGCAATCACAACAGTTGCCAGTCACAACACTAGAACAGAGCCTTGGAGATCTCTTGCTATGACAGACATTACCTGATTCAGTTGCTATATGGTGGGGAGGTCCTATAAGTCCTAGAGGCAAGACTGGGGCAGTGGCTCTGGCATCCTCTGGCACAGAGGATGTCCCAGTCCTCTGTTAATAACTGAAGTGGCAGATTCTTTACCGTCTGAGCCAGCACAGAAGCGCCGTATCAGTATACCTCACCGCAGACATAGGATAGAGAGAGTAGAACCTCCTGAAAGCTTTGTGAAGGAAGGATTGAGTAAGTGGTTGATGCTTCCATTCATGGGACATCTTGCAGATTTCACCAGTGGAAGTTTCTCCTCTTGACTGAAGGACCAAAAGAGATTTCAGTGCACCACGCCAAGTTTTTTTCAAATTTAGACTCTAGAAAGTCACCTAACTGCAAAAGTAGGGGTACATTTCAGTGAAAATCCTGATCCCTACCTTTCCATCATGTTTAGTTCAGTTCAGTCGCTCAGTCATGTCCGACTCTTTGTGACCCCATGAATCACAGCACGCCAGGCCTCCCTGTCCATCACCAACTCCTGGAGTTTACTCAAACCCATGTCCATCGAGTCGGTGATGCCATCCAGCCATCTCATCCTCTGTCGTCCCCTTCTCCTCCTGCCCCCAATCCCTCCCAGCATCAGGGTCTTTTCCAATGAGTCAACTCTTTGCATGAGGTGGCCAAAGTATTGGAGTTTCATCATGTAGGAAGAAGCAAAGAAAGCAGGCAACCAGAAAAGGGGACTGATGGATACTGGGCCACACATCCGGCTGCCCCAGATCTGAACACTGAGGCCTCTCTGTCTGTAAGGGGTCTCTCTCTCTGGACTGCCCCTCCCAGCACCAGGGTGCTCCTTCTAGAGACTCATCCATCAGTGTACATCTAGCTCAATTCCTCTTCCTTTGAAGAGAAGGCCTTCAAATAGAGAGGGAAACTGGATAAGCCAGACCCCGAGGCACAGCCTTTACTAGGCAGGGGAAAATACATCTGTGGGCTACGTATGGGGCTCCTGAGCAATAAAGGGGAAGTGAGTCATTTTAACAACAACCATCAATTTTTATTAAATTTATAATCAAATATTACAACAACTTCTTTTCTTTTGTAAAAAAAAAACAAATATTTACAACATTATCAGTTTGGGAAAAGACAAACAGCATAAAAATGAGGAAAAGTGATGAAAAGACAAATCCAACGACAGAATAAATACAGCCTATTTAAGCGCCTGTCCAGCCCTGGTGGCTGCTTCCAGAGTACCAGACCCTCAGCCTCAGAATTAGCAACACTTCAAATTTTTTTCCAGTGTAAACATGTCCAAGGGTGGGATTTTGGTGACTTCAAAGAAGATCCTGCAAAAGGAAGAGGGGTCTGCTCAGTGTGAAATAGGCCAAAGCAAGGAGGCTCCATGAAATAAGAGGGACATTGGCCCTTGGTTCCCTATTTTGCTTTAACTCCGGAACAGAAAGTAAGGTTAAAAAGTACCTGAATCCTTCTTTCCCCTTAAGTGAGGTTAGTCTAGGCCTCCCCACGATGAAGCATAAACCCAGCCTCAACTGGAGACTGATACTTACTCATGCGAATACTTGGAACTTACAGTCTTGAGCCTATTGCAAGAATGAAAATTCACTAGGATGTTCAGCTGCCTGACCAAGGTGCGAAGATCAGAGATCTTGTAGCCACTGTAATACTCCAGGATAGGAGCCTGGAAGAAACAACATGAACAGTGACATTTATGGCAGGAAGCAGACCCTTCCTGTCTCCAACACCCAAGTCCAAACCTCCTATCCATAGTACAGTCAGGGAAGACAGTCAAACAATTCAGACTCATACAGCACAGATATCGGCCAATAATTATAGGGTACTACCTAGAAAAATATGTTCTATCTGCAAACTAGTGGAATGGCTAGATCCATATGTACCAGCTGGATATAAGGCCCAGTCATAAGTATTTAAACTGAAATCCACTAAGAATTCAAGGAACGGGACAGACTTTATAACTTATGCACTCTCAAGAGCCAATGGCTAGGCAAACCTCAGAACAAACTTGAGGTCCCAACAAAACAGCCAATAGGAACTTAAGGTTGTTCTTCCTCTCTGGCTCAAACAGCTATCATTTCATGCATTTATTTTCTCATTCAACTTTAAGGATGCCTAGCATGTGTCAAAAGGAGTATAGCAGAGTGTTTAAGACCAATGATTCTGCAGGCAAGCTGCTAGGGTTCAGATTCCAGCTCCACTTACAACATGACCTTGAACCAGTTAACTTCTTCAGTACCGCTGTTTCTAAATCTGCCAAATGGGGATCATCACAGTAATTACATAATAGGATTAAATGAGTTAATATACATAAAGCACATGAAACAGAGTCTAGCACATGCCCAAACCATATGAGCTAGGATTAATATTAACCAAGCCTCATACACAATGCTGGGAATACAAGGATGACTAAGGCTTCTGCCCTTGAGGAGTCTGTAGTCTAGTGAGAGAGACAGACAGGCACACAGAGAATTACAAAATGTGTGGGAAGTGCTACCAGGGAAGGGAGCATGGGACACTGGAGGAAGAGAGCTGTAGGACCCATGACTTTTGTCTGGGAGAGCCACAGAAAGCTTTGTAGAGAAGCGTACATCTACAATAGGTGCTAAAAGTCTAATGGGAGTTCCACAGGTAGCGAAAGGAAGATTTATTATTCTGCAAAGCAGGAGTTTTCTTAAAACGTCTTAAATTATTCTCCCTGAACTCATTTTTTTCCCAAATATCTTACCTGGAATTGGGGGCAGGGGATCAGAAGTCTACCAATTTGGATCCCTTTCCCTTTTACGTGGCCCTGAGATACTTCTACAGGAATCTCAGGGCTCTACTGAATACTGGAAACCACTGCAAAAGGCAGTCATTGGAATGCTGCTCTCACCTCTCACCATTTCCTGTTAATACGTTTCCTGCTCTATCCATAGGAAATATCTTATCTGCCTCCCCAAAATCACAGTTTCCTTATTGCCTTCACGTCTTTTCAATCATTCTTCCCTCTACCTAGAATGTCCCTTCTCACATGTTCCTACTCATCTTTCAGGACCCAACTCAAAAGTAACATTCTGTGTGAAGCCTTTCTCATATATATATATTTAGTATAGAGGACTGTGAAGCCAGACTACCTGGGTTCAGATCAGGACTGACATTTAGCTGATGTTAGTACATCCACATCAAATATTAAAATACTGAAATATTTCTATGCTGGTTGGCAAGCAGTTTTGCTGCCCTGAGCCTCTCAGCCGTCCTCCCTGAAGACTACCACCTTCCCCAGGATCCAAAGCCTGGGTCAGCATAGGGCCTCCAGGATAATGGCTCCAGAGCTGTGGCCACACCCATTCTGATTATAGAATAGGTATATACTTTGAACAGACTCGTAGTTCTCAAAGCCTAGCTCTGCTTCTCAATAGCCAAACACAGGAACTGATTTCTTATCTGTCCAATAGGGATAATACTGTTGATTTCATAGGGTTGTTGTGAAGATTAAGCAAGTTAATACACAAAGTGTTTAGACCACCATCTAAGCATTCAATAAATGCTAACCATTATTACATATTCTTTTTCATCATCATCACTGCCATTTACTGAATGCTTTCTCTGTCCCAAGACATTTCAGGGCCTTGTCCAAGTTCACACAACTGTTTTTAGGGTTCTTTCTCAGCACACAGAGGTCATTCCATCAGTAGTGGTGCTAGAATTTTTAGGCTGGAGGGGCCTTGGAGAGGTTGGGAAGAGTATGCTCATTTGTGAACACACTCTTTCTACTTGGATTTCATTTACATCTCAAAAAGTTCATAGTTTCCTAGAGTTGTTTTTATTCACAATTTTTCATAAAATTAAGAAAGCATCAAATATATATTTTATTTGTATTGGGGAAGGAGGCTGTGGAGGCCTTACCCTTCAGAGAAGAGTACTATAGTATATGTCTGAGTCCCCTGTTACGTACATGGACAGTTGCTTTCACTGCTCTATTCTTTGGGTCAGTACTTGCCAAATCCTGTGCCAATGAGCTCTCCTGTAGGGGGCCAACCTTGCTGAGAAGATTGCAAGAAGCAGGGGTGGCATAGGGTATGGCAAGAAGTGGGTCTACCCCACTCCCTGCCATAATCAAAATAATTTCACATTAGTCTGTTATGTGATATTGGGCTTTCAGGTAAGCTGTCTTTAGAACAAATGGTACTGTGACAAAGAAAAATGAAATAAAATACTTCAAAACCAGGGCTACAGAAAACCTTTAGGCAGCCAGGCCCCTAAGAGGTCAAGATGTTAAAGGATTCATAACAGCACATATGCAGCTGTTTTGTCAGAGTCTCCCACAACCCTAACTTACACCTTCCTCCAGCTGACCCGGTGCTTTTAAATCCCTACCCGGTCTTCCCCACTGTCCACAAGTATTTACCCAGTGTCCGAGCTCGTTCATGCAGAGGGCCAGGAAGAAGGAGGCAGCAGCAAGCTTGGAAGCCCTCTCCTGGACATAGTCATATTCCAGCAGGGTCAACTCACAGATGAAGCGGGACAAGGTCAGTGTCTTCATGCTGGCATAGACACACTAAAGGCAGGAAGAAGACTGATTCAGAAATCAATGCAGAACACTGGCACCAAGCAGATGACCCCTGCACTCACTCCAGTTATCCTACCTTGGGCCTAAATGGTTCTCTGCCTGAGTGATGTACTTCTGCTACCATGACTCACACTAAGGACCCTGTCCCTAAAGCACAGAATCTTTAGGAGGAGAGATTCTGAAATCAGCAATGGTATTTGCCATCTTTAGGGTCTTAAGCCAAAATACCAACTATGCTTGTGGTACCCTCCCACCTCCCCTTTCTGTATATGCCATCCTTTGAAAAGCCAAAAGCCTCCAACTGCTATCTTTGCACCAGGTTCCAGACTAGAAATCTTTCGTTTGAATCCACACACACACACACACATATACACACATGTATAATACACGCATATATATTACATACATACACACGCACATACATACACATATATATTTATGGGCTTCCATGGTGGCTCAGACAGTAAACAATCTGCCTGCAATGCAGGAGACCCAGGTTCAGTCCCTGGATTGGGAAGATCCCCTTGAGAGAGGAATGGCAACCCACTCTAGTATTCTTGCCTGGAGAAATGCATGGACAGAGGAGCCTGGTGGGCTAAGTCCATGGGGTCGCAAAGAGTTGGACACAGCTGAGCAACTAACACTTTTCATGTATATTTATACGTACATACACACACACAAATCCTACCACAAAACACACTTGTAGAATAAGTGAATAATTACAAAGTGACTTCCCTGTAAGCAATATTCAGGTGAAGGAAGAGAACTTTGCTAGCATCTCCTCTAAACTTCCCATGTGTCCCTTCCTGATTAAAGAATCTTCTTCCCCTCCCCTACTCTGCCCTCACCTCAAAACTTAATAGGCATACCATGGAAATCTCCAATTTTCTCTGCCCACCACCACCACCACACTCCATAAAGATCGCCGTTCTAGGAGGGTGGCTTGAAGAAACTCCCCTGTGCTCAGTTGTCCCCTTCCCTACCACTCAGGGAGCCACTCTGGGAATGGAGGGGACTAACTCAGCAGTGGGAAAATGAAAATGTGCTTCCTCCCTCTTACCCTAGCATATCTGCGCAGAAAACGATAGGCGACAGGAATGTTGATATCAAATTTGAGGATTTTCAGGATGCTGGCTTCCATGGCGAGCATCTCATCTCTCTTATAAATATCATTGCAGATGTACAGGAAGTCATTCACACTAGGTGCGCAGTGCTCCTATGGGTGGAGAGGAGAGGCAGTCACAACCAGGCAAAGACAACCCATTCCTCTCTGCCTGGAAATGAAAGGCAGGGGAAGTGGGGGTGAATGATAGGAGGTAGTAACATCCCCTGGAATAAACCTTCAGGGTAGCTCTGAGAGCCAGCATCTGGTTGATGTGAGCAGTCCATCTGAAAAACATAATCAGAGACATAGGAGGAGAGAGGACAAGGCCTTTTGAGGTAGATTCTTACAGCACTGGAAGTAGCACAATACAGCACATGGACTGGAAGCACTGATCTCTCTTCTGATGAGTGAGAGCCAGAAATGGGAAATCTAAGGCCTGCTCTGAGGGAAATGGAAGGAAAGAGACCACAAAAGGGGGAGCTAGAGATGGAAAATAAGCCCACACTTTGTTTCCTAGTCTAAGGAATGAATAAGGATGTTTGGGAGGGGGCACTGTTGGGGTAATAGGCACTGAAAGAGACAGAGAGATGGGCACAGAGGGAACCCAAGCTGAGACTGAAGGTGGTGTGAGGATATGCAAGGGGGGCTAGACTGGGAAGATCCAGGGCAGATGGAGGGTGAGAACAACACCTCTCTCCCCATTCAGGAGCACCTTCCTATGTCCCGCCCTCTGCAGGTTGAAATTTAGCTTTGGGGTGAGGAAGAGGAGGTAGGAAGACCCCTGAAGTCTTTTTTCTAGCTGCACCTCACTGCCCACTCCAGCATTCTTCTCACAACTTTCTCTATCTTCAGATCACAAACTGGACCAATCTTCTGGGTTTGCAGACAAGAAAATTGAGGCCCAGAGAGAGAAAGTGACTTGCTTGAGGTCACACAACCATCTAGTGACAAGGGCAGAACAAGAAATTCTCCCTTCCACTGCTCTACTTACCAGTGGCTCCTTCCTTTCTTCTCTTCTCGTATCATCTCCTTACCTCCCCTTGCAAAAGTCTTTCTCTACTTCTCAGTCTTGTGAGGGGAAGACACTCCTGCTCCAAAAAGCCTAGTGGGGGTCCTTTGTCCCGACAACCAAAAGCCAGGTACTCCTGGTTCCAAAATTTGCTAACAAGAGCACCTTGTACTTTCCTCCTCCCTTCCTGTGCTTGGCTGGCCAGGGATCCCTAGCTTCTTTTTAACCCCCTTGAGGCTGAGGCAGGAAATACTTGCTCAACCCACAAGGACATCCCTAGGTAGGCAGAGGGAGGAGGAGGGAGAAAGAGAAAGAAAAAGAGAGACGAAGGGGAGCAAGGGAATGAACCAGGAAGACAGTGAGCAGGGAAGGGAATGAGCTAGAGAGGGAAGCAGGGAACAAGGGAGAGAGTGAGAGAGGAGGAAGGAAAGAGGAAGAAAAGCAAGAAGGTTAGGAAGCAAGGGCAGGAAGGAGGGTGGGAGGATAGGAATGAGGGAGAGAGCCAGGGAAAGAAGAAGCCAGGGAGGAAAAGAGGATGGAGCAGAACAAGGAACAAGCATGAGTGAGAGGGAGTTGAGCAGAGAGGGAGCAAGGAGAGAGGGGGAACAAGGGAGCCAGGGAGTAAGAGAATAGGGAAGGAAATGAGCCAGAGAGGAAAAACATCAGGAGAACGAGGGAGGGTGGGAGGGAGAAGAGAGAGAAGGAAGAAAAAGAAAGCAAACAGGGAAGGAGGGTGGGAGGAAGTTAAGGTGGGGGAGGGGAGTCATGATGCCAGGGTACCATGGAGCAAGGATGGGAAGGGAAAGGGGTCAGAGGGGGAGGGGGGAGGGGAGCAGGCACCAGCAGAGCAACAGGAAGGAGAGAGAAGGAAGAGCAAGAGAAAGAGTATGTGACAGAGGGAAAAGAGTTAGCTAGGGAAGGAAAGAAGAGAGTGAACAAAGGAAAGGGAGGGAGGGTGGAGCATATGATGGAGAAACAGGATGGGTAGGAGGGTGGGAAGGTGGTAGGAGGGAGGGACACATGGAGGACTGAGGGATAGAACTAGGGTAGGAAGGAGAGGATCATGGAAGGAGGGAGCAAATGAGGAGGGGAGGGAGTAATCAAGAGAAAGAGAAAAGGAGGGCTAGAAAGAGCAAGAGAATGGGTGGGTAGATGGAGGGAGGGAGGGAGCTCAGCATGGAGTGAGTGAGTGTTCAAAGCATGGACTGAGGGATCAAGGATGTATTGAAAGAAGGCTGGAGGAAGGAAGGGAGCAATGGAGCAAGGGTGGAAGTGTAATGAGCGCAGAAGCAGAGTAAGGGTGGAAATGGAGTGAGGACCAGAAGCAGGGATGTGAGCCAGAACTGGCACAAGAAGGAAGCAAGTAAGGAGCAAAGGAGGGAGAGTTCGAGTTAGAGAGGGAGGTATTGATCGAGGTAGGAGCTAGCGAGTGAAGAAGAGAGTGAAGAAGGGAAGTGGAAAGCTACTTAGGGATACAGCTGAGGAGGGAGCACAAAAACAAATCCACAGCTCTAAAGGTTTTTGCACTCAGTAGAAGTTACTACTTCTCTGTTCCTAAACCATAAGGTCTTATACTATTAGCCTATCTGAAGGAAAAATGAGAGTTAAACAAGACCATTTAGTATCTGAGAAAGAGGAAAGAATCAGATAAAGTAGTTAGATGGATTATGGCCAGCTACTTGCTTTTATAATGCTACTTCAAAAGTAATTTACGTGGACTCACTATCATCTACACTAGGCCATTTTCTCTTGAATGTCTCCAGCACCTAGATTTGGAAATGCTTCCTTAAACATGCAATTCAAGACTCCACCAGAAGGAGATGGAGTTGCTGGAAGAAGAAAAGGGGGTGAGGACAGAGAATTATGGTCCAGATGGAAGCTTTAAAAAGAACAACTCATTCAAATAGGAATATGTCCACATACACACATTTTCAAAGAGGAAACAGGAGAACTTTGTTGATGCCAGGAAACAAATACACCACTATTTGCACCTAACACCAACTTCCCTGCCATGGAAGACAGACAAAAAATTGATAGGAAAACTTAATTGTGTTCATGAATGTAATTGTATACACACAGATACACATATATGCAAATGTATACACATGCATACATGTGTGTATACATGTATATAATATACACACACATGCATGTTATACACATGCACACACACATACATACATTTGTAAATGTACATACATACATATATGGCTTGGACAGAAATTGATTGATTAATTTCCTCCAAGTCCCATGGATTTGGTCTCACCTCAAATTTTGCTGCAATCAGAAAAGCAGTGGAACCAAGGAGTTGTAACTTGTCCTTCTTGCATATTACCTTCATAAGGTAGTGATCTACCAGCTTCACTGCCAAGTACAGGGTCTCGTGACTCATCTCAAAGGTCATCTGGAGGAATACACAAACAAGGCAGGAATCTGCATGTTGTCCAACTGCGAAGTCATATCCAGATGGATCTAACTACCTGGTCTGTGGTATTCAGGACATTTAACTACAAGACCTAGCCAGCTGAAACTGCTATGAGTGTAGGAAATGCTTCAGCTAGGTGCCTGGCTATATCTCTAGTGCCTCTGAGGACCCTGGCAATACCTATCCCTACACATTTGGGTAAATGACAAATCTTTCATCAGAGGGAGATGCTCTACCTTCTCTATGAGCATCTTGAGTGAACACACCCTCTCTCTTTCACCACCAAAACTTAGATTCTTGCTCTCCAAATTTGCTACTTTATAGTGTAAACCCTAAGCATTGACTTTTTGTAATGCCAGCGCCTGGCTTAAGTTTTGATTGCCAAAGTATCCACTTCAAAGAGTCATCCACTTCAAGAATGGCTATGTCCAATGAACACACTGCCAGCCACAAGATGAGATAAAGAGCCAGGCTACCTTCCCCATTGAGGCTTCTTTGTTTTTGAGATCTTGGTTGGTTTTGATAACTGACCATTTGGACTGATTTTTTTCTCTTCCCAGGCTTTAACTTCTTGCTGTTATGTTTTAAATTTGCCAATAAAGAGTGAGCACCAGAAACCCGAGGCCCCCACATCTGACCCAGTAAAAGCAGAACCCCCCTGACCTGCATGTTTATGTGTGTGTTGTTTCTCTCTCTCCTTCCCTCCAACCTCAACCTCACCCTGTGCACCCAGCTGTGCTGTGTAATTTCCAGGCCCTTTAAGTAATAAACCTGTATTTTTTTCAGTTTCCTATGGTTATTGTTGAAGGGTGTTTTGCTATCATAATACGAACCACAGAGGGTAGTCCAGCCATGACATTAGTTATTGATAGGCTGAGACCAGCACAAAAAACACTATTACCTCATACAATGAACTCCCAAAAGAGATGTTTATTTAGCTCTGAAATAAAGGGACTTGTTTATTAGTTTATTCATTCATTAGTTTCTCTTCCCAACTAGATATGCTATTAGAATATATGGACCGGGAGCAAGTACCAATAGCACAGTTTGTAAGTGAGCTGAGGGGCTAAAGAAGCCAGCAAGAGATTAAAGCATTAGTAGTATAACATTCCTTTCCTTCTTTCTCTTATTTATCCTTATTTTTGCCTTCACCAACTCCAAGAAACTGTCTCCTATAGCCCTAGTCCCACAGTTAGTGCTAGCCCATTTGGCATCTTTGTGCAAATTAGAAAAAAAAGGTGTCTCTCTGGGTGAATGCAACCCTACAGGCACACATCTTATCAAGTAGACAATACTTTTATATAAATTAATTTTATATAAATTAGCCCTTGTCTCAGGGCATAGCAACCCCATAGTCAGAATGCACAGCTTAGCAAATAAAGATATTAGCTGGATTCCATGCCTGCTTTTGCCTTGCCTAGAAGCTGTGTAGGCACAATTTGCACTCATGGTCCTCCTACACAATCCTCACAGAGGCTTCTTCCTCACAATACCTTGGGTTCTTGGGTCTGTTTCTTTTACTTTAACCTTTGTATTCTGTTCCTTATTCTACAAGTTGATTAACGTGTAACTTGTAAAGAGATGTTGCCTATAGCTTAAAGTATACATAATGGCCCATCTGCAGGAATCCTGCCCCACCCCCAAGCCCGAAAGGTAAAACAAAAAAAAATCAACCCAAAAGAAAAAACCCGAACCAACCCAACAGGGAAAGAACGCCAGAAAGAAAAAATTAACATATCCCCCCTGGCAGAAACCAGGAAATATTTGCAACACCTTATGGCCTTTTACTTTACCTCTCACCTCCCCCACTTATGGCCTTATACTTTAGCTCTCACCTCACCTACTCTTTGTTTTATAAAAGAAACTAGCATCCAGACCCTGGCAAGATGGTTCAGACTTCCAGCCTTCTGAATAAAGGTCACTATTTCTTGCCCCAACACCTCGTCTCCCGATTGACTGTATTGTGCAGCAAGCAGAATGAGCTTGGACTTGGTAACAGTCCAACACCTTAATCAATGTGTGAATCCCCTCTAAAATCTCCACCAAATACTCACTCAGTTTCTGCCACAGAATCTCCAAATATAACCTGGCTTTAACAGAAACCAGAACCTGGTTTTAACAGAAAATTCTTCTTTCTACTGAGTAGAAATCACCCTTAACGTAAGCTTACTTACTTCTTTGGGCCTCCTTTTTCATTGCCTAATATTATTGACCAGAGGCTAGATAACCAAATAGAGGTCCATGAAAAGCACTGGAGAAATGGATGTATAACTGGATGGGCAAATAATTACCAGATAATGGCTGAATACATTGGTTCAGCGATAGATATATTACATTTCTGAATAACAGAAATACCATGAAGCTTTTCTTATTGTTCCTGGGATATGGCCTGGATGTTCTCAGAAATCTGGCTTTATTGGTTTCCAACTGCTTCTGCAATAAATTACCACACTCAGCTGGTAAATAATCCGCCTGCAATGAGGGAGACCTGGGTTTGATCCTTGAGTTGGGAAGATCTGCTGGAGAAGGGACAGTCTACCAATGCAGTAATACTTGGGCTTCCCTGTGGCTCAGCTGGTAAAGAATCTGCTCGCAATGCAGGAGACTTTGGTTCGATCCCTGGATCGAGAATATCCCCTGGAGAAGGGAAAGGCTACCCACTCCAGTATTCTGGCCTAGAAAATTCACAGTCCATGGGGTTGCAAAGAGTTGGACATGACTGAGCAACTTTCACTAGTGGCTGAAAACAATACAGATTCGTTACCTTACAGATCTGGTGGTCATAAGTCCATTGGGATTGCTGGACTAAAAATGTCAAAGTGCAGTGTTAAGGCTATGGTTCATTCAGAAGGTTCTAGTAGAGAATCTTTTTTGGCTTCTAGAAACTGCCTATATTCCTTGGTTTGTGGCCCCTTCCATCTTCAAAGCCAGCAGTGGCCAGCGGAGTCTTTCTCATACTGCATCACTCTCTGCCTCTCTCTTTCACATTTAAGAACACTTGTGATTATAATTGGGCCCACTTGGATAATCTAGTATAGCCGCATTACCTTAAATTCAGCTGATAATAATCTTAATTCCATAGTCTAATTTTCCATTGCCATATAAGGTAACATACTCAGATTCTGAGGATTAGGATGCAGGCATTTTATTCTGCTTACTACATTTTCCAACAGAACATACAAGAAAGGGATGGGGAGAGTTCATGCAGATGAAGAGTAATGACTATCACCTCCAAGTGTCAAGAAATTGAGGTCAAATAATTACAGGAAAAAAAGTATAAAAATGAAAAACAGCAATTCTCTGAGGATGCCTTTGTGAGCAAACAACAAAGCTAGTGGATGCATAGCCTCCTTGCAGTACCTCACAGGCACCTGGCCACTCATGCAGTACATCATTATCAAATGATAACATCAAAAAAAGTAGGTAGTATCTGAATGAATTGTTGAAATGTGGAGTCAACAAATATTTAAATTAGCAGCTGTGTCAGTTACAGCACTCTTCCTTCCTTGAATGTGAGACGAGACTCTTCTAACATAACTCTACCACTTGGGACTACACAGAACAAGTCTAATCCTTCTAGTGACAGCCCCTCAGCTACTGTTTTAATTATTATGTTTCCTATACATCTTCATTCTAGAGCAAATAATTTGACTTCCTCTATTTTTCACATGATACGGTTTTTCTGACTGCTCAGAATCAGGCTTCAAATCAGGAGCCTAACTTTGTGCCAGTTAGAGAAGAGTGGGTAATTCCAACCAGCTATACAAAATGAGGACAAGAAGCTTTTCATCACAGGAGCAAGGTTCTCTCCCTCATGACTGCCTTTGTCTAGCATATCCTTCCAATTCTTCAAAAAAAAAAAAAAAAAACTATTTTCCATATCGGGAAATGGATAAGAAGAAACAAAAGGAAGCGATAAATCACTCAAAACTATAGAAAAAACAAAGATTACTTTTAATGTTGAACTTAATCTTAATATATGTTTCAAATATGTGTGTATGTATTCATATATGTTAGGAAGCATATATGATAAAATTCATCCCAAGTTCCAAAACTCAAAGACCACCTTCTATGAAGATGAATAAACAGAAAAATCTATGAGATATATGAAAAAGAGCAAGTAATTTTTCAAGGAGAAATGCTTTCAGGAACCAGAGCAAGTGTCTATGTATTGAAATCTTTTCACTCCAAAGATCTAGAATAAACTTTTTAAAGTAAACTCTCAGTGCACCAGCCCTGACACCCTGTCTCATGCATGGAACCTGGACTGGTGATCTATTTCACATATGATAATATACATGTTTCAATGCTATTCTCTCAAATCATCCCACTGAGTCCAAAAGTCTGTTCTTTACATCTGTATCTCTTGCTGTCTCGTACTGGGATGACTCTGAGGGATGGGATGGGGAGGGAGTTCAGGATGGGGAACACATGTACACCCATGGCTGATTCATGTGAATGTATGGCAAAAACCACCACAATATTGTAAAGTAATTAGCTCCAATTAAAATAAATAAATTAATTTTNCACGGGAAATCAAAATGAGAGAAAACTAATAAATAAAATTTCCTCTGAGCCAAAGAAAGACTGAATCTTTAGAGTGAAAGGACCCACAATATAACACATAAAATTGAAAACAGATCTACATATAGACATGTAAAAATAATTATAGGGAAGGTAATATATTAAATAATAATCTGAATCTAAAAGTCTAGATTACTTTGACTAAAAACAGGAGAAGAAATAAACTAAAAATATGCAGGTTATCTTATCTTTCTTGAGAGTCAATTAATAGGTCAGGTCCAAAGGGGTAGGTTAAGTAAGCAACAACAATATCCATATGGAAAAGAATGAGGTAGGTCTATACTTATATGGGAAGATTATTAAGACTTATTAAGAGAAAAGAGCAAGTGGCACATGACCTATTCATGCAACAAAAGATATCAAAAAACCCACACTCAGTAAAAAGCTATATTTTT